CCATTTGCTCTGGCTGCAGCTTGGAATTATTGGCGGTAATTGTCCCAGGGACTTTTTTCGTTGAACTGGGGCGGCTTCATGGAGAGCTTTCCTGGTTCAGAACTGAGTTTGACATCTTTCAGTTCCGGAATTGAGTTTTCAGTAACCGTTTCTGTGGGGTGGGCAGAATTAACAATTTTGTTTTGCAACCTGCTAATTGTTTTCTTTATTTCGCTGATTTCTGCCTGAACTCCGCCTTTGATTTCCTCTACTTCTGTGTTCATTTCCTTCCTGATTCTATCTATCTCTGTCTCAATGGTTCCTATCCTTTCTTCGAGTAGGCTCACCACACTACAAAGCTCTTTCTTCGAGCCTTTTGCATTCTCAAGAAGTTCTTCCTTCAAGCTATTCGAAGTCTCTAGAAATTTATCTTCCAAACTTTTCGAATTTTCCAGAAGCTTCTTCTCCAGGCACTTCGAATTTTGTTGTTCATCTTTCAGCGATTTGGTGTTCTCCTCGAGTTTGCTCATTATTGAACTCCAATCACCCCCAGAAACTTCGAATAAATATGTTTCGGGATCTTCTCCTGATTCAATCAAGTTGTCCCATAGTCTCTTCTGGAGTACTGATTTTTTTCCGGAAGAATCTAGTTCAATCTCCTCCAATTCTTGCTTCAATTCGGCGACTTTCAAGTCCACTAGGCGCACTCTTCTTGTACACATTTTAACTCTTACTGTCTATTTTACTCAAAACTGAATATGTCCACTTATTAAATGGAGTCCAAAACACCTTTTTATTTTCACAAGTCTATTTTTCGCGAGAAAGGTCTATCAGTTAATGTTTCCGTCGTCCTGTACTGTCCGCTGTGCGAAAGTGCGAAAGTTTTATAGTCAACTTCACCGTAATACAAAAATTGTCCACCTAGCCCTCACAAATTTATTTCAAAAAATCCACTTCTGATCACCAATTGTAACGAATTAAAGAATTAACTGTCTTAACAATATTTCACTAACACAACTAATTTATAAACAACACTAACGATTAATTTATCTTCACAGTTAGATTCCTTTCTTTAAACGCACGATTCACTTTCTAAGTACAGACTACTCCCTCTAGGAACGGAAGGCCGGCTTATATAGCAGCAACAATCACTGCAGATCTCTTCTCGTCATTTCGACACTAATCTAGAATTTCGTTGCGTTTCGCGATGTGTCATATGTTTGGTGTCTGAGATAACGGTCAGGGCCGGCCTCAGATTCATTACAATATGAATGTCATATTTTGCAGATCGTCTCCATATAACCCTGATTTTTCGAAATACATTATTTTGGCCGCAAACAAAAATTTTCGAAAAGTATAATAATTTCGAGAGATCCTCAGATTTCAAACGACTGAATAGTGAATCTAAATCCTTTTAAAATCAATGTTTACTATTTTATATTTGGAACTTGTGACTTGAAAAGATAACCGAATTGAAGAAATATTTATGATTAATTGCAAGGTAATTCAAAACACATATATGATGGCAACTGTCTGTTCATATTGCTGGCAGAGCAGACTGTTATTAAAATATCAATTTTCATCTTGACATAGTGTTGAATGTCTTCCAAAGAGTAGCAAAAGTAATTAGAGTTCCAAATTAGTCAAGAATACAACCACGCCTTCATCTACAAATAAATATAAACGAGCAACTTCGTCAATGTGATTAGTTTTCAGGCAGAAAACTTAGCGGAAGGCCTGCCAGAATGCTGTCTGTAACACCTCAGTCTACCGCAGTCGCGTGATCGCTAAAAAGTTCGTGACGTAAGGTGCAGGGCCTGCCGCGAGGCGTCTGAGACCCTTGACCTATATCTTCTGACATCACAGGTCCGAAGAGTGATTATTACCACCTATGATATTGACGAGATACCGATATTGCCCTTCGCTCCGGGGGATATTGAATCCGTTGTGGGGATTGAAAGTACCAAATATTTTGGAACTATCTATTCCCCACCCTCAGCCTCATACAAGCTTTTGCCGAATTTATTGGAACTACTCGTTTCCCACCCTCAGGCTCATACAAGCTAATAAGCCTGATGTAGTCCTTCTCGACCACCGGAGCAAAAAGATATTTGTAGTGGAGTTTTCAGCTCCTCTCGAATCTTAAAATCATACCGGTTTACCGCATTAGGGCAGAAATCTTAGCCGCACAGATGCAGAAGGCTGCCACTCTCGACTCACTGCGCTTGCTCAGGGCACATGATTCTCTGACTCAATGCCCACGGTGTGGGGAGTGGTCATTGGTTGATAATGCTGGCGCTCCCTCCCGAATGTATCAGGGGATAGGGCCTGACCAGCGCATAATTCGGTAAAAAATAATAATAAATAACTGTTTCGGAAGGTTACTCAGTACAAGATGAACGAACCTAACCTAGCAAATGGCAGACTCCAACATCTGCATATGGTAAGTCAGAGTACAGATTCATTTTCCATTCAACCATCAACTCATATTAATTCAAAATATTTTGCAATCATATTCGAAATAATAAAGAAAAGAAGAGAAGAAAGGAAAGGGAGGTGACACTTGAGAATTTTATCCTTTGATTTATTCTCCAAGAAATTTGATATGATTGAAGAGTTTCAATGATCATTTAGATAATTTCGGTATTATCTGCATATTTATTGTAAATGAATATGAAATATAGGTATCAACTGATTAATGTCATAAAAGTAAAGAACCGAATTGAATCATATACGAGGGGGGTCTGAAAAGTTTCCAGCCTAACGAATACAACATATTTTCTCTTTTTTTTTCATTTTTCAACATGTTCTCATTTTACCGCCAGACACTTCTCCCAGCAATGCTTCCGTCTGTGTAACCCGTCCAAATAGAACTCAGCGGTTTCTTTGCAAAATAATTGTTCACAAAGGTGATTGCCTCTTCATTTGACGAAAATATCTGTCATCCGAGCGCAATTTCCAGGTAAGGAAACAAAAAGATTTCGCTAGGGGCTAGATCCGGTGAGAAATTCGGATGGTCAAGCAGTTAAAATCGTAATTCGTGGATTTTCGCTATGGCAACCGCAAAGGTGTGAGACGAAGCGTTGTCTTGGTAACACAGGATTTTTGTTCTGCAAATATCGGTGTTTTTCCACAAGTGTTGCCCACTGTTTGTCAAGTAATGATGCGTAATATGCTCCTGTAGCGGTTGTTTCGTTCTCAAGATAATATATTGAAATAACCCCATGACTATCCCAAAAAACAGTCACCATCACTGTCCCAGCCAAAGAAACAGTTTCAGTTTTCTTTGAAGCCGGTTCCCCCTTTGCAGTCCACTGTTTGAACTGCTTTTTTGTTTCAGGCATATGATTGGTGTATCCAAGTTTCATTTACAGTAATCAATCGGCGCCATAACTCAAATTTATCGCGCTTAAGCTGCGCCAACAGAGCGTTGAAAATGTTCATTCGATTACGTTGATGGTCTAACATGGGCAAACGCGACACCCAACGCGCGGACAGTTTTCTCATACCTAAATATTGATTACATATGTGACAAACCCATTCTTTTGACATGTTCCTAGCCTCTGCTATCTTTCTCACTTAAATTCGGCTGTCGTCTAGCACGATTTGATGAGCTTTTGCGATGTTTTCGTCGGTAGTTGCAGTTTTTGGACGTCCCGAACGTTCACTGTCTCCCAAGCTCTTACAGCCACGTTCAAATTCAGCTGGCCAAAATTTCGCTGTGGTAAATGATGGTGCAGAGTCCCCATACACAGAATCGAGCTCATCTTTGATTTGCGTGGGCGTATTTCCTTTCAAAGGCAAATATTCAATGACAGTTCGTTACTCGATTTTGTCCATTCTCATAAAAACACTCACATCAACTCACTCAAACTACTGTTACATAACAACTGCGCATCCAAAATGTCTCAAACTTTGGTGAGTACCCATCAATAGATGAACAACGAAATTCACTATTCATTCAGGAGTGCTGCTATCTTCATAGTGAGATCAAAAACGTTTTAGACCACCTTCGTATCTCTACAGATTTTTGTTGAAACTGGATGGTAGTAGTGATTTAAATTTGATGGTTAGCCTGCGATGTTATTAAAGAAGCCTTGAAAAAAAAAATTCTGTTTAGGTGCAGACCCAAATTTATCGGGTCTGAAACACACTTTAGCGAATGAGTGGGCAGTAGATATGTAGTAGATATCCTATAAGGTGATATCATCCATGTTCAGTCACTCAAATTATCCCAAGTTTTAAGACACATTCTCAGGTTTCCTTACGCCTGTGAGGAGAAGTATCATGCATGAATTCTGTAGTTTTTGAAATACCCATCAGATTTCAAGAGTCATAGACCATTAGCTGCATCTGCAGAATCTGGGATAATACCAGTGCAACACAGAGTAAAATTCTATGTTTTTCTTTAAAGATTTCCACCCGAGTATACTAGTTTAAGATTCATATAACCCTTTGGTAATTGAGTCCCATCGATGGAAATGGTAATCAATTCGCTAAACTGATTTTTTGCAGTTAGCATATATCGAAGAGCATGACGTAACATTCAGATCCATTTACAGAGAAACAAAATTCAGTTGATTTAGCTTTCAGAGAGGGCAGATCATAACTTATTTGATCGAGCACGGTATTGAATGAATTTTCATTGAACTTCCATGAGTCGAAATGTGTCACAATTGTGCCTAAGTTATATATTTGTTAGTTGTTGGTTGTTGATGTCTGCTTCGTAGTTCATTCGGGTAGACTTCATTCAAATATTGCTGTCCACAGATAAATTTCAGAGATACCACAATAATCGCCAGACACTCAGCCACTACTCCAATCTAGTTTATAGTTTAGTTTGATGATGATAATTATATTAAGTACCTATCATATAGCACATAATGATGTTCAGTATCTATTATCAATCAAATATTAGAAGAATGTTGGCGTCTTGTAAATTCATGTAAAAATCTCACGAATAGAGCAAAACTAATGTTTTTCTGAAAGTGTTGCATTTCATCATTAGTAATAATTCGCAGGAACCCCACACCAACAGAGGATGATCTATTACAACGAACGGTTTGGCCAACTGTGACATCAGCAAGGAATATTACGTACCTTGAGATAGGAAGTGAACTGTCACTGAAACAAAATTACCGACAAAAGGATATGCAGTTTTGGGATCAACTCTATTACAACTACGGACACGCACCATATATGACCTATTGAAATCTTGTACTGCATATTGGTGTCATTCCTAGACATCATGATCATCCCAGCCAGCCGTAGTGAAAATTGGCGTTTGTTGATGAAACATCGCTAAAGTAAATGTTGCCATATCAATTTGTAGTCTGCGATGTGAATATAATAGTTCTAATGTGATATTAAGAGTATTTAAGGTTCGATATATCAGTATTTTCAAATTAGAATATGATTATTTAATTTATTAGCATCTTTTTTCTCATGTAGGTAATAAAATCATCTGAAATTGTGAAAAGTTCTGAAAAAACACTGTACCCACACACTAGAAATGTAACACTTTTCTTGGCTCGCATTTCACCAACCAAGTTGATGGCATCAAGAGATGATCTGAATGATTATTAATACGACCACTAAGAAAAGTATCACACTTCTAATATGTAGAGAAAATATTTTCGTGGATTGATGTTTTCTTCTTCCTGTATGTGAAACATTAGTTTGATCGATTTTCAGAGTTTGAAATATATTATTTCGAAAACTAGCTCCAGCGTATTTCTTTGAGTAACCCCGATTTGAATGTTATAATTTTTTTTTCGCAAATTTAATTTTCAATATTTTATTTTGAATATTCCAAATAACGTATTTGATACTATCCACCTCAATTGTAATGCCTTGAAGGGAATTTAAACACCATTATATTTACCTCGGCAAAATTTAATAGTAATGCTGTGCGAGTAAACGAAATGATTTTATATTTGAAACAATCGAGAAAACGTATATTACAGACATTCAAAGTATTTCAATCATCAAACATATTCAGAAACCAGTTGAAACACTTGAATCGTCACTGGGAAATTCAAGATACCACTAAAAAACAGAGGAGTGAGTGACTATGAAACCGGATTTTCATCATAGAGTTTTTTTTTCGAAGACGCTTAGCAACCTTCTATTGGTGTACTCAGTATGCACAGACTGATTCTGGAAATAATAAATCATCCGTAGCGGAGCTACGTCTACTTTGGCACTTTTTTGGGCATGTGATTTCCGATAATGAAGTTTGAGATTGTTATTGGCAATTCTACGATTGAATCAACTTTTTTGTCACTGTTATGCGGTAAACAACAGTTATAAAAATACAAAAATATCTATTCGAGCGATTCAGTACAGCCACCTACGAAATTTGCCATTCCAGTACAGTAATTGTACCAAGATACATTGATATTTCATTCGCAAGCGATATTTCAAAGGAGATGTAAAATTATTCCACTCAGAATTATGGTTTTCTGAATAATTTCTTCTACTTCTTAGCGAGATTCACAACAACCTTGAAATTCTTAATATTTGAATACTCCAATATATCACCAGAGACCGCTTCAATGATCAAAAATTAATTATGGGGTGGGTGAGGGCAATAATTTTTTCTGATTTCCAATAAAATTTATTTGATCATATCTTGGAAAATGTATGTTTTATGTATAGTACACCCCCGATTGGAAAGCTTCCCGAAGTGTAGAGCCTATCAAATATAAAACAGCCAATCGGTAAAAAACAAATTTCACAAATACAAATTTGTTCACAATGAAGACATTTGAATATTATGATTCAAGATTTCGACGAACGTGGATAGTCGCGAAGTTAGTCAAGAATGCGGCGTCCTCTTGGTCTCCCATTTTATAGGATCAGGAACTGCGTTTCTTCGAATGTTCTAGAAAAACCTTGGAAATGTGCTGAATATGCTGAGTCATTTCCTGGGTAACTGCGTAGTGGCTGATGCAATACTTTGTTATTGTGGTGCAATTCATAGACGAAGGGTGAATTGATTTTTCTAATATAACATATTCAACCTGCTAATATAATACAGTTTCACTAGTTCGGACTTCCATTGTCAAATATGAAATAATATGATTTGCAATCTCTGAAAGAACAAATAAAATTATAAATTGATGGATGTAGCCGTTACTATTTGGTAGGAAATCATAATGAAGAAAAGAGAAATGAAACTTTTTATGTTTTTCACCACTTTTATTTGTAACTAACGTTACTGCAGTTTGAAAATGTCCGTATAGGACGATCCTGCAGTAACGTTAGTTATAAATGAAAGTGGTAAAAAACATAGAAAATAACATTATTATTCAGAATGAATAGCCAAAAATAACAATTATATCAAGCAATAAACCATGAATTGAAATTGTAATAAAATCAAAATTAACAAAAAGGAATTTGAAAATTGAAAAGTTGCTCCACTTGAAGTACCTTGCTTTGTTAACATTTCAATTTTTCATTTCATTTGTAATTAAATTTGACGGTTTGAGGCTCAATATAATTGTTATTTTGAGATATTCATTTCAATTTCATTTGTTTTTTCAGAGATGTCAAATCATATTATACCATATTAGACACTGGAAGTCCGAACTAGTGCAATAGGCGAATCGACTCATAATGAATTGCTGAGCACTGTTACTATGGAAGGAATACCTAACTGAAACTAAATCAACTAATCACTACCTAGCATAAAACAAAGTCGCTTTCCGCTGTATGCTTAGATCTTTGAAACTATGCAACGGATTTTGATGTGGGTATTTTAATAGAAAGTGATTCAAGACGAAGGTTTATATTCAGGTACTAAAGCAGTACGATGAAATGATGATTGCCTACTTCCAGGCCTAATTATTTCGGTAATCGGTTTTAGCGCGAGCGTTTTTGTTTCCTTCCGTAAAATGCTGGTTGTTTTTCTTAAAATCGTTCTGTATTCGATCATTTTATTTAGTTGTTCGATGATAGGTGTGAACTCGTGATTTTTAGAAACTTCTGTACAAATTTCGACTGGGTTTCTCATTTGGCACAGGTAAGGGTGCATCACCTCTCCTAAATTGTACACAAATTTGAATTCATTTATTAATTTCCCACAAAAATACCAATAATTCGAACCCCGTACTCCCAACGAAACTGACCAACAGTCGTTCCGTTACAGTACTCACTGTAGCGATTTTTACCCAGCAATTTCGGCTCGGAAACCGCGCTGGAAAAAAACCGCTCGGAAATTGCGAAGTATGTCGCCGGTCTCAGGGATAATCCACAGTAACCAATGTTTTATCCTCGAGAAATAATGGTACGAATCGATTTCAAGCAATACAGCATCAATCCTCATCCAATGAAGTACCTTCAATACATTGTGCAATATGGTCCTTTACAGCATTTAATTCGAATAAATATTTTCGAAGATACTACGAATTTAAAATGCAGCTGGGGGGCCGGCGGCGCGTGCCTGTAACCAGCGCTTCCCTGTCGCCTTGTAGCAATTTCATGATTAGCAGCGATCACACGCGTTAATATATATATTTCATATCAGCATTGCACCCGTGCGGAGCCGGGGCGTGTTGGCTTTGTCTCCGCTCGGAATAGCAGAATAACTATTAATATTTCAACAATTGAAATAAAATCAAGATCAAACAAATTGACAACGTTCAGTTTGTTATATTAGGATAGTTGCATGGTGCGCGTAAAAGATAACTGAGGTTGTGACGTTTATTTTCATGCGCGCATGAGTAATTGTTATGTCATAATAGAAGCAAAGACACCAATATACATCACAGTATTTTATGACAAGAGATGATAAATTTTTTCACAACGAAGTTGTATGCAATCAGACAGCGGAATATTGCGAATCCATTCCCTGAAAATTGAGAAATCGCTAGAGGGAAGATGTCTTCAGTTTTTGTAGTAGATTTTCGAGTCTGACTCTCGAACTACTGTTCAACTGTTCGAAAGTTAAAATCCACTGACGACTCAGTATATCAATAGTTATCAAATGACAATAAATAGTAGAGATTGCCGTGTATAAAGTTTGTATTTAAAAATATATTTTCTTCTGTTTTCTTGGATCTCAGATCCACAAAGATTATTGGTAGTGAAACCTAACAGTTCTTACCTTGGGATCAGTGCTTCCTACGAGTTATACTTCGTAAACAACCATATAATATATAAAATCACTTTTCATCGCAATTTATAAGACAGTGTTCTAGATTATATATTTTTACTGTGAATTACATGCTATATATACAATTTACAATCCAAAAAGCCTAGAAACATCACTCAGTGGATATATTCTGAAAATTTCATCAAATTAAGTCTACCAAATCACCACTGGAAAAGTAAGCTGAAAAATATTGACAACAAAGTAGACAGTATGCTCCATAATGTATAAGACTTCGTAATTTTAAAATGGACTGAAGCTGAAGAAGAAATTAGATTTTTTGCATATTTGGTACTCTGGAATACTGCCATTTGATTAGTTTCATTACAATTCGCTTGTTTAGTTAACACCCCAATGAGATTATTGCCACACATCAGTGAACTGCCGGTGCTGATCTGCAAAAAAGCATAATTTGGCATTTTAAAAATCAGGCTTTCTTATTTTCTCCACAATCTCACATATTGTACATATTACCATCAACTTCATGAGAAAATATTGATTTCAAGGTAATAACTAAAAATTTGTTGAAAAATGAAAAATATTCGACATGAGAAAATGATTCATATCAAGGTATGATCACTTGTCACATCAATATCGTTTCTACATACCTTCGAAACGATAACAAAATTATTTTAAATTATTCACTGTCAATCATTGTGATAGAAAAATCAGCAGTACTCCTTCTTATTATTTAATATAAGTTGGAGAACAGTCATTACATAAAAAATCATCATAGAAAAATCTTCGAAACACATGAACAAAAATCTTGATATAGATGGTATGTAAGTAAAACGTTTGATAATATTTTTCATTGTAGATCATTTTGACGAAGTTTCGGCAAAGTCTCATTTGCCATCTTCTGGTGATGTCTGGATTTTCAACCTAAACTACATTGTGAGAACTACTCATCGTCTTTCAAAAAAATACGTGAATCGATATTTCCAAATTTTTATAATAATTTTGACTTTGAATCAAAGGAATTCACAAGAAGGATTGACTAGTCCGAACAACGAGAGAAATAAAACAAGTACATGTTTTAATACTCGTATGATGCTTTGGCGTGTCTCCCAATTAATCTATTGTACAGCTTCATTTTCGAATTACCATAATAACACTGACTAAATTAGGTGTCATACAATAACTTAATTGTGTTTTCTTCCTCGAATACTCATTTGAGGAATTGTCATTTTGGGTAATTCGCGAAATCATATATGATAAAGATAATAAATTCTTATGATGAAGATAATCAATCGTCAATTATTTCAGATCCAAAATCAATATTTCCTGGTAGTAATGATATAATAAAAAAAGGAAAAATATCAGATTTTTGTTTTCTCTTGAATAACCAAGGAACCGTAAAACAGTTGTCAGATGTTCACAAGTGCCCAGTGTTCTGGTTTCAGACTTTCAAGTGCAGTAATACCCATCCGCGATCGAAAAAAATTTGGATTCTTTTAATAATTCTTTGAATTTCAATATATCAACTTCTCATTGAAGCTTGTCTTGGATATATACTACTGACAACTGAACAGGATGAGTACCCGTTAAATCGTTCATATGTTGTAAATTCAAACGAAGAAT